AACGTATTAAACATTTAAATAACGTTTAAAAATTCCGTTTATTTACAAGCAATTCATCATTTCGTTTATTGAGGCACGTTCTTTCGCAAATATTTAATTACAACTCCCTGCTGCGTAAATTGTTTAAATCAACTGTTCCAAATGAAATGCGTGTCTACGCATAAAATATTTTAAATAAAAAGATACCTAGACAAATAATTCAAAGATACTATACAGAATTCAAATAAAATTTTTAAACCATAGGCAAAGAGAACAAATGTTACAAAATAAAAAAAATACCAATGTTGCCTTTTATATAATTTGACCCTAAGTAAAACCACTTGTACTAGTTGTATTTGAATTTAATACAGAGCCATCTATTGGTCAAAAACCGTAAAAGAGAAATAGTTATTTGAAATGTAATTTTTATAACAGTCATCAAGCTTTCTTTACATTAAAATTATGATTACTTTCTATACATATGTTTATATAACGATTCTAATAAAATATGTACTGTGCAATATTTTGGATTTTCCAGTATCAAAATAGCTCCTAGAGTAATCTAACTACAAAACAAGCAAAATTCTCAAGTTATGAGAATTCCTTTCTGGTTATTTCATATTCCAAAGTTCGCAATATGGCTTTAAACAAACTCGCGTTGCCTTTATTTTCATGATCGCTTATGAAAATTGTATTGTTTGGTATACCTAATACTAAAATTTCCTGAAAGTATTAGTACAGAGTACAGAGATGTTTTTGTCAGTTTTTTAAAACAGAGGAAAGATTTGGATATTTATGTGTATTTGATTCACGCAAAAACTACTGGGCCGATTTTTAAAATTATTTCACCATTGTGAAGGTAATTTACCTATGAGTACGATACGCTATACTTTGTATTATTATTTATTTCACTCGGGCGAAGTCGCGAGCAACTGCTAGTGATTTCATAAACTTTGAGTGGTCAGTAAAATAACTGTCATAACACCATTGTTCATTTAAAAGTGTTTCTTAAACTGAATTTAACTTTTATTACCCAGACATTTTATAAAATGTTTTCCAGACACCTAGACATTACAAGATCTACTTCGGATCGTAATTGAAAGAAATGACCTTTCAATAATTTGCTATCCCTACGTGTGGAATCACTTTTTTTAGTATCATAAACTTTTATGCCTCCAATAAAACGCAGCGGCTAGACGCTTGACTTTATATTTCGTGATATTTGCTTCATAACGTACATATGTTTTTGATAGTAATCTGGTTATAAGAATAAGTCTATAAATAACTGAACACTGGCGAGAATAAGTCAATTTAAGAGTGCTCACACCTGTGACTAAACTATCGCACAATTGTTCACTCGATTTGATTCATATTAACTTATATGTAGGTGCCCACACTACTTGATTTAATTGTGCAACTTAACAGTTGAAATGCTGTAAAACAATCGACAATCAAACAACATTTGTGCAATCGTTTAGTCAAAGGCGTGCGCCCTCTCTTAATTATGATAGCTCACTAGCGCCCTCTTGGCTATATCTAAAAGTGTTACAAGATCCTTTCCGTAATGCGGCTGTCATGTTAGGATTTACATATATTTTTGTCAGGACCAAATAACCATGTTTGACTCTATAGAATAAAATGAAAATAAGATTGACCAATGAATAATAAATTCGAAATATCTCTTTTGTAAAGAGGTTTCATTTATTTTTATTCCTTGATACAATTTATATATTACTTTATTACAATAAATTTTCCCTTAAACAAAACAACTTCCTTTTCTTTGTAACAGAAAACGCGAGGAAGAAAAGCAAGGGCCTTCAAGAATCTCTTGGCCGTTGTAAGTGCGCTCACTTTCAGATATCTTAAAATAAATCAAAGCGGATGAAGGTAAAGAAACTCTTGTTATCATTGTGAATATCAGTATATTGACTTGAAAAATATATACAGGGTGTAAAAGTAATAGAACAACAACATACGACGAACTTTTAGGTTAGGATAAAAATGAAACTGAACATCCTTTATATGGTTTTTATAAACTCTACTTATTGCAGATGCCTATAGCAGTGAATATGAGAGGCTAGCTGTTCGCATGCGACTTCTTTTTATTGTTCACATTAGTCAAATTATCAATTGCAAATGTCAAAATGACATGATATAATGTCAAACCATGGCAACCTTGCTTCCTTGATATTGGCAACAACTTATGGTCTCTTTCCCACATTAGGGTTTTTATCCAAAATATTTACCCCTAAGTTTAACGGCGTGAAAATATATAGCCCAAAGCGTGACGTAAGTGTAGGGCTTTTTATTAAAAAATAGTTAATCGAAAATATGCTGTAATTGCTGACATCTTAGGCAACAAAGAAGTGCGTGTTTACGATTTATTATAATAGAATAGATATTAATATTATTATTAATATTATATTCATACGTTTAAGAGCCAACTAATGTATTTGTTCAATCAATCGTTACTAACAGCTTCACCTAAACGACATAGATCTATTCATACAAGGTACTGTCTGCGAAAAATATTAAATTACTTAAGACAAGACCATATTAACGTTTGCTATCCCTAAACCAGATCACCAGATCATCCGCTGGCAACGCTTATACAGGTTGTATTATTTCCACCAACAAACAAATTAAAACTAAACAGCAATCGTATCGTAAATAGATTTAAAAGCGAAGTTAAAATATATTAGAACAAAATGCGAGATTTTAAAACTAAGCCACTGCCGGCTTAGTATTTTATACGTATGATAATGAATATGCTCGGTTAAGCCCTTGCCACGTACATTCTTGTTCAATATAATAAACTTTATTACGTAGAAAGCTTAAACTGAGATATCCAGACTTTATTAAAATGAAACCTTAATAATTCTGTTAACCTCATGATTAAGATTTACTTTTATTTCGTGTTTAAACATTCTTAGAGTTTTCAATCTTTCACTTTTTGGAATTGGCTCTTAGGATTATTGCACTAAACTCATTGGTTTTGTATGTTTAATTAAAGTAAGGGAATACGGAGAATTATTCAAGCGAGTGTAGGGTTTTTTTAGAAGGTTAAGACAAAGGGTTATATAAAATTTAGCTAGTAAGAAAAGTTCGTATGTAAACATCGTATATTTTTCAATACTTCTCTTATAAAATCTTGAAATTAATAATATTGCTTGTTAATTTTACTTGAATACAATTCTCATACTGAATTTGATAGTTTCTTTAATAATGCCAAGTGTATGTAAATATCAACAATATGAATATGCAATTTTCGGTATTCAAAAAAGGCATAAACTTGGCAGCACTTTACTTAGCACGCCAACTAAATCCCGCTTTAAAACATTTTACGTAAAGGATTTAAATTTATTTTAACTTTTATTAAGATTAATATGCTCGTATTCTCGCTGATTTAAAATTTTGTAACACAACAAAAATTTCTATTATTATGAACAGAATAAAATACTAATTGATTTGTCCTCTACTTGTAATAATATCAAAAACTAGCTTTCGCCCGCAACTCCGTCTGCGTGGAATAAAAAAATACAAAAGTGAGTAGCCTATGTGTTCTTCCGCACTATCCTTCACATCTATAGCAAATTTCATCGAAATCCGTTCAGCCGTTTAGGCTACAAACTCTAACAAACTTCCATCTATCCATCCATCCATCTAAACTTTCGCATTTATAATATTAGTATGTTTATTATACTCTTAAGTTCGTACTTACATCGAGAGAAATGACGTCACCTTTTCGTCTGGTAAAACCAATATAGCCACTACCTATAACGTTTAGTAGTAATTGTTTAGTGGAATACTTAGATAGTAATATTCTTCTGTTCTAGTTTTTTAAGAAACAAGCTTTTTATAGACCTTAATATTAAGTATTTGGTAATTGTCAAAGTTTAATAAAAACAGTATCAACTTAAAGTGGTTTTCTCAAGTATACTATATATTTAATTTATGAGTATTTAAAAACTTCAAATCTCCATACAAAAGATATTACGTCTATAAAACCATTGCCATTTTATAGTCACTTTTAAACGTAATACGATTCTGTGCAATTCGATGAAACTAAAATAAAACAGCTTACTATATTTAGAATTACATTCAAATTCAGACAGATAATATCTAGATTAAATTAAAGCCATATTGTACTCTTATCGGAATTTGTCTTAGAGCGCGCGAACTACTTTGACTAAATTATCGCACAACTTTTTAGTCTCGCTTTGATTCCTATAAGCTTATATGGAGGTGCGCTCACTCGATTTTTACTTCAGTAACTATGCAGTTGAATTAGTTGCAAAACAATTGACAATCGCACAACAGATGTGCTATTGTTTATTCAAAGATGTGCGCCCGCTTTTTCTCTTGAAAATTATATTTACAAAATATACAAACCGAGTATTACTTGCAACAGAAAAGTCTCTATTTTGAAACTTTCTTCAGAGATACAAGCCTTTTTACTAACTTTTTTAACGGCATAAGATTTAATTTCACCAAAATTGAATATTGTATTTTCATACATGTTAGAATTCCTTCATCTCTTCACGTATGTATTAGAACCAGAATATATAGTTAAAACACAATGTAAATACGTTCTAGCTATTTCGCTACAAGCCGAGAAAAGCTTCAGTAAATGTAGAGAGAAATGGTCCATGTAACGATACGAAATTGTTACCACAAATGTATGGAATGAAACATTCCACGCAACTGTATTTGGTTAAAAATAATGTCAGATATTTGATTACAACCAATAGAAAAGGCTAATTAAATATTTCAATCGTTTTAATTACGAAATAAAACATTTTTAAATTGCATTTAAATTGTTTAATAAATATAAATAATATTTTAACAAATGTAATGTAATTCAAATACATATTGCAATAGCAGAAATAATAATGTTTCTTACATTAATAACATTTTGATAGTCAACTCATTCTATAAAAATATATTTATGTAGCTAAATATTATAATATAAAATCGTACTACTTAAAATAGCCGCACATTTAATTTACAAAAAGAAATATTTTTTTTACTAAAAAAAAACTATATCACATTCCATTCATATTAAAATCGCTTGAACGTAAACGCTCTTTTTATATTTTCATTTGAAAGGCTCCGCTTCCCTATAATACGTTCGGTTAATCCCTAGAGTGTTTTAATTTGCTTTTAATTCAATGAACTGGCAAGGGTTCGTGTATCCAGTTTCTCTTGCCTTCATTGAACTCCGCGGCCGTGTGGTCAGATCCTTCCAGTATCCACTTTGTGGTTAGCAAACCTTCCACACCGACGGGACCTGGAAAACATCGAATTAATTAATCATTAAATAATATGACAAAAGAACGTAAAAAAAATCAATCAATGCAATGCTATTTTATTTTTAACATAGTATTTAAAAGATATTTTTCATATATCTGACATTCCGTTACATACAACCAAGTTCTTGTAATGTAGAAGGATATTATCACAAACCTCTAGCATGAATCCTTGCTGTGGAGATTCCAACTTCAGCGCCTAACCCGAATCTGAATCCGTCGGCGAACCGTGAAGATACATTGTGAAAAACGCACGCACTGTCCACAATACCGAGGAATTTCCGAGCTGCTGATTCTAAAAACATACGTATATTTTAAAATGCATTCTTTACATTCTTCCTACATAATAACGTAGCCATAAATCTATCTTTTTTTACCAGGATCAGTATTACAAATTATGTTCGGTAAAGGTTGACTATCTATAACATATCTTTCTCGACAATGTTTAGTTTTGCTATAAATTCTATAGCCTTTTTATAACGTATAATATATTACTTACCATTTTCTGTTACAATAACATCAGTATGTGAGCTGCCAAATTTATGAATATGATCCACAGCCTCCTCCATATCCTTAACTAATTCTACACAGCATTCTAATGCTCCATATTCATGGCGCATAGTTCTTGCTGGAGGTGGACCAAACGTCAGGTGACTTGCAAGCCTCGGTCCTGCATGTATCTTAACACCTTCCTTCTTCAACATATTACAGATTTCCGTGAACAATGAATTAGTTAAATGTTCTTCATGAATAAGTAATGTTTCCATCGCATTACAAGCTGCCGGATAATCACATTTCGCGTCTCTGACTATCTTTAAAGCCTTCACTGGGTCTGCATCCTTATCTATGTAGACGTGGCAAATACCTTCCGCATGACCAAGTACAGGAATATGTTGAGATTGCTTTTGAATACTCCTGACAAGATCAGAAGAGCCACGAGGAATAATTAAATCAATATGTTTTTCCATAGCCAGCAAGTCACTGATTTCCTCGCGTGTGGATACAAGAGAAATAGCATCTTCAGCACCGACAGAATTCAAAGATTCTTTAACAAGGTCCATTAGTGCTTTGTTCGAATATGCAGCTTCTTTTCCACCTTTAAGAAGTAAACCGTTAGCTGATGCCATAGCGAGAGCAGCTACTTGTGGCAGCGAATCGGGTCTGGATTCGAAAATAACCAACAGCACGCCAATTGGGACTGTCACTTGCCGGAGAATTAGATTATCTGCCAGTTTAGTTTTACGTAAAACCCTGCCAACATTCTCGTAACTGGAGTCAGCTATTTGTTTTAACCCGGTTGATAAGGTTTTTAGTTTTCCTTGGCTTAGTGATAACCGGTCCAACAACGGTTTGGCGAGTCCACCCTTCGTGGCTTCTTCTAAATCTTTTGCATTTGCTTCAAGTATTTTGTCTTGTTTCTCTATCAGCAAGTCAGATAATGCGTGAATTGCTGATGCTCTTTCCGAAGGGGTTAATTGTTGCAACACTCTACTGCCAGAGCGAGCTAAAATATAGGTGATGTTGATGAAAATAGATTAATGCTGTTTACCAATAAATGAAATAAAGAATTTCAGTTTACCATTTTCAGCTAAAACGTCGACTGAAGTCGGAGAACTTGTGGCGAAATCTGTGAAGAAAGTTCCTACTTTCCGTCCACTAATGATCGTCTTAATGGCTTTCTCTTGCATACCATTACATATAACGACGCTCACACCGCGCGCCATTGCCCACGTCGCGGCATTCACTTTCGAATCCATTCCACCAGTTCCAACCTACAATGCAAATAATACATTAAAATGTATTAGATAAAGTACATAAAGGATTTTTTTATTTATTTCACTGAATAATATTAAAGCGTTTTATGGCAGAGCATGCTTGGCTTTGATGATATCCCTAACTTATTATAATGAGTAGCTCCGGAGACGCTCCGGTTCAGAGTTCACTAAGACGTATTCTATTACCACAATGCCTTGCATAAAATTCTTAATCATCACTCTAAAGAATCTTACCTTAGATTTCTGCCCAAATTGCACTAAATCCTTATCCTTAGATGTATACGTGTGCATCATCCGAGCTCCGTCTTCCCAGGGTGGTTTGTTATAAATGCCGTCAACATCTGACATCATTATTAATAAATCTGACTGTACTTCAGCTGCTAATAATGCGGAGAGACTGTCATTGTCCTTTATGCCTATACCCTGAAAATTATAATAAATATGAACAATGTTACAATTTATGTATTGATATTCTGTTACCAATATATTAACTTGATCGTTTGGTCAAAAAGAATGACCACTACGAACAGTTTATCACAGCATAAGTCATATGACTGATGCTTTAGTTAAATTTGCAGCAAAGCAATGAATAAGTCCAGAGGACCATTCATCGTGGCCTACAGAAGTAGACGACCACAGACTGAGTGCATACTCTTTGGAAGGATTCTATTATGGCAATTTTTCTGCTTACCTTTTTCCCTGTCCCAGGTACTACAGTGTCATCGTGAATATACATAGGCGGGCTAACAGCGTCGTTGGTATTTATTATCGGAACTATGTTCAATGATATCAGCTCCGATAATGTGCAGAACAAATTTTTTCTCGTCTCTTCATTGTAGAAATCTGGCTTCGTCACCAAAACCTATAAAACAGAAATCTATGTATCAAAAAGATCTCAAAAATTTTGAAAAATGTACAAAAATCTACCAACATCTACCATTATCTGACATTGGTGGATTCATTTAAAGGTTAACAAGGTGACAACAAAAACTCTAAATATGGCAGTTACTGTTTAAAAACGTAATTTAGTAATAAATGGAACGCGTAATATTGGTTTGAATTGAATTTCTCAGCACAAAAGCCTCATCCTGACTGATATGACACAAAATGTTCCGATGTTGAGATTTAATCAGTCCCCTATTGTAAGGAAACGTTCGTGGGGACCGCTGCCTGCCACAGAATCACTATTCTCAAAGGATATAACCGTTACCTTAACGTTGTACGCGGAATATTAACCATTACAAGGGTTTAATACGATTGTATAGGTATCTTATCGCTGATTTATATTTAAAATGCTGCAGCTACGGTAACAGTAACCTATATTTATTTTATTATGGACTTATATCTACTCCCGGTTATTTTTAATTGAACTGTCAAAAATGTATTCTATTCCAAAAATGACAATTATTATTCAGGAAATTTAAGTCAATAGACGTACAACTTAATATCGTAATTTGCATTGGTAGAAACGTAAGTTGCAGCGAAATTATTCAGGTGAAAATTCTAGGCTTCAGAAACATATAAATAAAATAATAAATTAATTAATAAAATGTTAGTGGCTTACCTGTGCTATTTTAACATTATACTGGGAGAACATTGCATCGTACATAGCCATTAGTTCCGACTGACCCACCGCGGCCGCCGCGCGCGGGTCCAGAATGCTACCCGCGTCCTGTACACAACAATTAAGCTATTTGTACAAACGAAGTTATTGCACAGCAATTATTGCAACTAAGTAATAGCTGTAGGAAATTAAACAGAACTAAAGAAAATTGTATGCATTTAATAAAATACGCAAAGATGTTAGTAAGGAAATGAGTAAGCGGTTCTATCATGTCAAGTTACCTTACCAATGACATAAATAGGTAAACGATTCAATGGCAAGTGATGCATTTCCAAAGACATCCTTGATATACTCGTATTACAAACTGTTGTTTAACAGAGGAGTTATAAATAAAGAATGGGGCCAAGATATTTGAAATTTGGTGTCTGAAGCACAAAAGCTATTAAGGATGTCTTTAGTAAAATGAGAAGATCATTATGGTCGAATCGACATTTTACGTCTTTCCTCGCTTCTTTTTACCTCTCTGGTGTGATCACTCGGTGATAATGTCTCCCTCATGGAGAGTGACATGAGCAGTTCTTGCGTCAACTTTTGACGACCAAACGCCACCGCGCCGCTCGTCACCATTATACATTCCCGTCCTTCGTGGTGACATTCTGCTACCTGAAAATAAACAGATTAAAAAAATTAGTATTAAGAAATAAGAACTTACTAGAATTTTCTAAGTTAGTTTGTTGCTGAACAAATTTTTGGAATCCATATCATACTTAGAATTGAGTACCTCCTTCTTTTAGGAAGTCGGTCAAAAAAGACCTATGAAAGGACTCTTAAGGGTTTTTGAACTTTTACCTTTCATTGACTTCGTTTAAATTATTTGTTCACTCATCTTTATTAACCCTTCTGTATAGACAAAAGATTTAGTTGTGATACATTGCATTTGTATCAAAAAAATACCTGTTCAATGATAGAAGCCAGTCGCCCCAATGCTAAACCATTCCCGTCTTCTCTCGTAATGACCGCACTGCCAAGTTTCACGACTAGTCTTCTCGCGTACTTCAGTTGCGATCTGTCGGTGAACGTCCTCTGCTTTCGTTCCGCACTCACCAATGTACGCTTGTCTACGTTAAGACCCTGTATTAAAGAAGGCATATTTAAGACCCTTGTTCTACTAAATACGTGACTGTCAATTGTATTTGAGAAAGAAGATGAGAAGCGCTAGCAGATATAAGTAAATCCACATCGTAATAGCAGTTCTAGTCGAATACAATTGAAAAGAAGAAGTTGTGTTCACACATTTCATTCATTTGTTTATGGGTTGAATTTTGAATGTTTAAATTGATGTTACAAGCTGACTGTTTTCCTAAATGTCTAATTACAGACTTATGAAACTATAATTACTTTGATATATTATTTTTTTCATTGAATTCGACCACTCGTGTGGCCAGAGTTGAACTGACACAAAACTGCAATAAATTTTCATTTTAAAATAGTTTCTTTTAAGTTAATATAATTTATAATTAGCACGGACCCTGACTAATGTAAAATTACTGTAGAAACCCGACTCTGAGTTCACTAATGTACATTAAAACTAACTTTCAGGGACAATCGTGGCAACGTTAGACAAATAAGACAAGCGAAATGATAGTTATGGAACACTTTCCATCACGGCACTAAATTACTTTAAAAAGTAGAAACACGTATACAAAAACATTACAATTGATCTCTTTCATTCACTCTCTGTATATGAAAAAAGGTTTTTTTGCAGTATAACGATTTGACTATGTAGGTACTTTGACATTTAAAAGACAGGACTTGTCAAACGGGTGCATTCCTCTGTTTCAGATAACGGACAATTAGTTCTAAACATGCTTATTTGGTTACTCATTTTGTGAAGTTTGTAAATTTTTAAGTCATTTTGTATTTATAAAAAAACTTTCCAATTTTACCATAATGTTATATAATATTGTATACAAATGTTTGTGATCTTAATCTCACTAGAAAACGTGAAATATTGAGCTGAATTTAGTACAGCGGTGTTTCTTTGTCTAGTCCATTTATAGTCAAAGATATAGCACAATCAATTGACAAAGGAAATCAATCAATACATCAACACTGACAACAATTAATTGAGACTTGTCTACTGTGTGCTGAAACGCCGCATTGCATACACACTGTGTCTCACTATCTTAATTGACAGAATTGAACATTGTACATTGACCGCTGCACGTTTTGATAACGGGAACAAATGTCAGTTTTTAATGTGTAGAATTCAGTTATTGGAATAATATTTGATTGAGTTGTATTTAAAAAACGAATAAATAAATATCAAGCAATGAATTAATTCAGTCAATAATGTAACTTGTCTGATATCTAACATCTGTAATTTATGCGCGCATTCGTAATTACGTCTTATCATAAACATGTATAAATTTATAATCCATAAATTGGCTTGCATTCCCTACATTATAGTAAATGTCAAAAGGACAAAACTAACAATGAACCAATGTTGCCATGGTTACTTAAATTCTCAGCCAATAAAAGCAAGCAGTTAGGGTCTTCTTTGTCATTTCAGTATTTGAATTTTTACATTGTGTCATTTGACATTGTTGGATTAAACCGTACGGAGAGAGTTTTCTGTAATACAAAATCATAATATACAATAGCTACTTGAGCATGTAATTTAAATTAGTTTCAGCAACACTCACCGCAAACGGGCAGAGGGAACGCTTTCTGAATTTCTAATGATACTCAAATATTAGAACGGGCCTGTCTGGGTAACCGCGCTGGAATTAACATGATCAGGGAAGGCATAAGATAGATTGCCTTTAGGGACCTATATATTGGTTATGGTATTCGAAAGCCGTACGTTATAACGGACAATTCATTGTTTTCAATGATGTAATAATTAAAATCTATACAGTTTCATAATAAGTACATTTTCAAAGATATCTTACTTGTGCCTACGAATTTGTACGAAATAAAAATTATTAAATAGACTGTGTGTTTTCCAGACTATTCTACATCTGTGCAGTATTTAATCTAGATCCAGAATTCAAAATTTTCGTATTTTCGAACCTTAAAACATTTCAAGGAAACGTATTAAAAATGTTTAGTCAAAATAACTTTTTTTTAATGAGAAATGGAGGAATACCAGATCGATATTTGGGTTCAGCTGGAGTCTTTTTACTTTTTCATTCAAAGTAAATTTTAAACAAAGAAATATAACTACTATTAAGTCATAAGCCTAGAGGGATTTACACAGTTCTGATTAATTTGACTTTAAAACTTATTTGTTTTACAATGATAATTATGAAAATGTTTTTCTCATACAAAAACATTATTCAACAACAGAAACGCCGCTGGCTAGAATTTATAACAGAGAGACTTACAAACAAATGAGAGTATAAGAGTGAGTTTACACTGGCAATAAACCTGTGAAAGACATAAAAACGTCCCTCTTTGAAGAGAACGAAAGGCATGTCAATTTTGTGTGGACATCCACGGCTTGAAATATTGCTTTATCTAACTATACTAATATTATAAAGATGCAGAATTTGTATGTATTGAAATAACTCTAAAACTACTGGGCCGATTTTAATAATTCTTTCACCATTAAAAATCTACATTACCTTGTAACATAGACAACATTTTTAAATTTCACGTGGACGAAGTTGCGAGCAACAGCTTGTATTCTAAAGAGATTTGTATTTTTGTATGTAAGAAGTAAACTCAAAAACTACTAAACCGATTTCTAACATTATTTTTCCATTACAAAGCTACATTATCACTGAGTAATATAGGGACACAACCATGTTTAAAAATTGTTATTTTTATAAGTATATTAATTTAAACGAAACATGGATGAATTGCTTGTAAAAAGTTACAAGTACCTAAATATTACGACTTTAAACAAGTAAATACTTGAAAATATCTGTTAAAGAACGATTTTAATCTATATTAATCAATACTATTATAATAAAGCGTAAACACACACTTCTTTGTTGCCTAAGATGTCAGCATTTACACCATGTATTTGATTAATTCTTTTTTTTAACAAAAAGCCCTACACTTACGTCACGCTTTAGGCTGTATACTTTCACGATATTAAACTTGAGGGTAAATGGTTTGGATAAAAACCCTAATGTGGGAAAGAGACGGTAAGTTGCTGCCAACATCAAGGAAGCAAGATTGCCAAGTTATGTAATGTCATTTTGACATTTGCAATTGACAATTTGACACATGCAAACAATAAAATAATTGTATGCTGATGAAATCGCACGGGAACAGCTACACAATAAAATTCCGTTCGTATTTATTTAACTAAACATGTATATCTAAACTATGTTTGTCAAATTTTAGTAGCATATCAACAGTTAACTCAATGTTATATACACAAGATAAGAAAATTCGTTTCATTAACTCGTTCAGTAAATATTTATTTTATTTCCAGACTAAAAAATATTTTTAAATGTACACAAACGTTTGATAAGCGTTTATTTCCGTATGTGGTACAAACTGTTGTTAGCTTGATTCTAACTATACCTATACGTAATTGTTTCGGCAGTTTTAAGTCGCTTTTTCTCATAAGGACTTTACTCTCTCTCTCTTTTACTCTTTATGAGACAAAGAGAGACGATATGTTTTCTCACATTGGAAATCCAAGGAGAGGTCACATAACGTAACCTGACCTTAATTTTAAAAATAACTAACTAGTTAATTCACAATTGAAAATACTATATTTAATCTTATTTATTACAGCTTAAACTAAAGATTAGTCTTTTTTTATAAGTGTTAAGATTGAATGTGGATGACTACAAAGGAAGAGGAAGACCGAAGAAAGTATGGATGGATTGTGTGAAAGAGGATATGCTTAAGAAAGGAGTGGATTCAGACATGACGGCTTATAGAGATGTATGGAAGAGCAGCACATACTGTGCCAACCCTCCATAAGGGATAAGGGCAAGTTGATGATGATGATAGGGTGGCAAACGGGCAAGCGGCTACTTGAATCCATGCAGATATATTAACTTCTCCATATATGAAATTACTTTTATTAATGCCAAATAAACTTTGTTGTTTATTTTCAAAGTGAATTGATAGAAGTTTAGTTTTGGCCATTTCTAAATTAGTTTACTGTCTAAGAAAGTTACATTTGATGTGAGTTGAACAAGAATCAATTTATGATTCACCAAATATTAAACTCTGCAATATTATCCACAGTAAACAATTTGCAAATAATAAAATACCAACTCCAGATAACGTTTCATTTTTAAATATGTCCTCGCTTCACACGAGTAGATTTTTTTAAACGTCCTTACATATAGTATTTATAACAACCTGTATACTGTATTCTTATGTACTAAGCAAACACTGACATTTAATAAACTGTTTAAAACTAAAGATTATTGCACTTACCTCATACACGCTATAAACATTTCCCAACGGCAAAGTATCTCCAATAACCGTGTAATATCTCCTACCACTACCTCTTACAATTCTAGCTACATGCAGCATTTTAAATCACTTCGTGTAATTAATAAATAAAAATGTAGATGACACGCGCTACAGAGAAAATCTGTTCACAAAGTGATAACGTAACAAAACGTAATGGGGACATTTATCGTAACTGATTGTAAGAGTAAATAAACTCCATTAAAATTATATAAAACAAAAGAACAAAGAACTCTCATGTCGCGAAACGTAATGACGACCAAAGTTCAAATACTCTGACAGCAAATGATCCTTGTTCTTGGTATGACGATAGATAATTCGTTTGGTAAATGACTGGGAAACGTACTCGTTATTGTTGACCTTTTACATGCTTACACTTAACTTAGGTATTATTATCATGGTTAGGTTATAACAACCAAAATTGAATAAGTTTTTGTCAGCCTAATTTTCACTCTTTTCTTACAAAAAGATGGATAGAGGACGTGGATTTGACGGTGGAGGAGAGAGAGCATAGATGGGGAAATATCCTTTTTATGTGTGTCTCCTCCTCCGTCAATTAAGGGTAGACAACGCATCTGCAAGTGCAGATGTCTATGGGCAGCGGTCGCTTCGGCATTTTGATGGATTTAAGTGGTCGCTTGCTTTTTTGCCACCTTATAATGCAAAAAACGCCTAAATTA